CGGGTCGACCGGGTCCCGGGTCGACCCGCCGGGCCGGTCCGGGTCACAAAACACTGTAAAAAATAACACTCTCGGAAATTGTAGGGCTATGTGGGGCCCAAATCCATTTTGAACTATGGATAAAAACAAAAGATAATAGCTGTACAAAAGCTAGCCTTCACGTTCCAGTAATTTTCATATTGGAATTTGGAACCTGTAAAATACCCAGTCTGACCTCTCGCTATATATATATACACGTATTTATGTTAAGAGTAGGGGGCACAATGCAAATCATAAAATGAAGAACCAAAAAAATAACAAATGTTACATTATAATTGTGCGATAGTCGGGAATGATCATCATGCCAACATCAACATGATTTTCTTGGTTTTTTCTTTGGATATTTCCTTTATCGGCAACACTCGTATATTTTCGTTTATAATATTTCTCCATTACTAATATGAGAAATAATAATAACATTAGGTTATAACTTAAAAAATTACGAGCTAATTTTATAACTATTATTACAATTATGAAGATACCTAAAACAAATAATACATACAAAATGCGCAACAAATAAGAAATAACATTTAAGATGCTATTTTATTAAAATCATGAAAGCCCTAAATTAAAAATTAAATCAATTTTGAATATTCTCATATACAAAATTATGGTTATAAAAACTAGAAAATAATTAAATAAAACATATTTTTTGAAATAAAAATTGATAGCCCACTGAAGATGTAGAAGTTGAAACCAAATTATTGAAAGATATTTTTTTTTTTTTTTTATCCTGTACTTGTTGTTCATCTCCAATCTAGAAGGAATTTTGTAACAATGCAGGAAGAGAAAATAAAGTAAAAAAAAAAGGAATGTTCAGTCATGCGTGACGGAAAGAAAAAAAAAAGAAAAAAACTTGGTTGAGTTGTAGTGGGGGCCGGGCCCACAAGAAAGTCAATTTAATTAAATATTGTATATATCATTGCACACTATTATATACAATATATTAGTTAAAAAAAAATTTGGTTCGGGCCCAGAAGATAAGTTAGTAACATTAAATAGTATACATATTACATTACACACTAT